CATATTACCCAAAGCAATCTACAGAGTCAGTGCATTCCTCATCAAAATACTAACATCATTTTTCATGAAATTAGAAATACAATTGCAAAACTGATATGGAACCCCAAAAAGAGCCTGAATAGCCAAAGCAATCCTAAGTAAAAGGAACAAAGCTTCAGGCATCACATTACCTGACTTCAAATTACACTGCAAGGCCAAAGTAACCAAAACAGAATGGTATGGTATAATAAAAGACACTTAAATCTGTGAAACAGAATAGAGAACATAGAAGTAAAGCTACATATATCTATAGACAGTTGATATTTGACAAAGTCAACAAGAACAGACATTTGGGAAAGGACACCTTTGCAGCAAATGATGCCAGAGAAATTGGACTATCATATACAGAAGAGTAAAATTGGATCCCTATTTCTCATGATATAAAAAAAAATTAACTCAATATAGATTAAAAATGTAAATTCAGGATGTAAAACCTGAAAATATGAAAGTATTAGAAGGACACTTAGGTTAATGTCTTCACAGAGAATTCATGATTATGAACTCAAAAAACACAAGCAACATAAACAAAAATAAACAAATGAGATTTAATTAAACAAAAAAACTTCTGCACAGCAACAGAAATAATCAACTGAGTGAACAGACAACCTGAAGAATGGGACAGAGTATTTGCAAACTATGTAACCAATAGGGGACTAATAACAAAAATTTATAAGGAACTCAAACAACCCAACAACAACAATAATGGTACAAATAACCCCATTGATAGTTGTCATATAAAATACATGCATTTGTGTAAATGTCACAAATAGACATTTTTTAAAGAAGACATACAAATGACCAAGAAGTATATGACAAAATGCTCAACATCACTACTTGCCAGAGAGATGCAAATTAAAAAACCACAATGAGATATCATTTTATATCACTCAGAATGGTTATTATTAAAAGGTTAAAAGAAATGACAGATAGTGCTGAGGATGCTGAGAAAAAGGAACACTTATATACCTTTAGTGGGAATATAAATTAGTATACTTCTATGGAAAAAAGTACTGGGATTTCTCAAAGAACTAAAAATAGAACTACCACTTGATACAGCAATATCATTCCTGAGTATCTACCCAATAGAAAATAAATTATTCAAATAGATACCTGCACTTATGATACTTGCACTGTTTGCAATAGCTAAGATATATCAAGCCCAGTGTCCATCAATGAGGTTAGATAAGGAAAATGTACATATTGGAAAACTATTCAGCCATGAAAAAGAATAAGATTTTGTCTTTTGCAGCAACATGGATGGAACTAGAGGCCAGTGTCTTAAGTTGAGCGACTCAGAAACAGAAAGTCAAAACTTATAAGTATTCTACTTATAAGTGCCCTCACTTACAAGTAGAAGCTAAACACTGTGTACACATGGATATAGAGTATGGATTGAAGACAATGGAGACTTGGAAGGGTGAAGTAAGGGGAATGGAGGTGCAAAATTGCATAATGTAGGTTATGGGCATAATGTAGGTTATTCAGGTGATGGATACTCTAACCCAGATTTTACCACTATTCAATATATTCATATAACAAAATTATAATAAATAGAGTGAAATCTGCAGCCTTTTAGGTGGCTCATGTTATGATGTTTACCTATCCTGCTTTGCCAAGGGATTCTGTATACAGAAATTTGAATTAAATGGTGGGGATTTAAACACCCATTAAATTTATTTTTCAGAAAGAATAGCAGACCACAGAAAGGTTGTGACATAGCACATTCTGTGTTGATATAATGATAATACAGGTAAACTCTTCCAAACATGTTGCATTTGCCACATTGGTAAGTTTCCCAAATATATTATGGAATTTAATTTGCAAGGAGATGTGAATTTTAAATACCTTTAATGCTGACATTTCTAGTTCTAACAGGTCAATTTATCAACTTCTGCTTCTGTTAGTTCTTGCCTTCAGAGTTACTTCTTTCATTAATTTGTTATTTTGATTAAGTAAACTGTCAAGACTTTGACTTAAAAACAAAAATGAATTTAGAATTCTATTATCTTGTCTGCCTCCTGCACAGTGGTATTGTATTTTTTTTGTCTTACCAACTTTAGTTGTCATTTATATTGTCCTGGCTATTCCTTGTGGCATTCTATGTTGGGAAGCATGAAGCCCTGTATCTCTAGATTATAAAACCTCATTGAGGTAGACCTGTCTTCCCATGTTTTGTGTCCATAATGGAGAGCTTGGATAAAAAATTATCTTTCTAGATCATTTTTAAAGTTCCTGTGTAAATGTGACTTTTATGGAAAATCCATATTAAATCCCCTGGTGCAAGAACAGAGGAAGAATAGCAGAACAGAAAAATACAGACTAGAAAAGCTTCCAGACAGTAAGAAAAAAAAAAGCTATAAGAAAAGTAAAATACAAAACCAAACATAGCAACTTACAAATCTACCAACAGTAATTTTCCTATCTGTGGGTGTAGGGATAAGAAGTTATATTTTCCTAACACATTTATTACACACACACAGGGCTTTGATCTTATGCACACAACTAGCTCTTGGGAGAGGTGCGAGGTAGGATAGAGTACAAACTCACTACATTAGTTTTTAGGAGTCCCGTGGACTAGTTCCTGCTCTTTCTGTAACCTACGACTTTGAATGATCATCACACAACTGATCTTGGGTTCACCATTCATAGGAGAGGTGACTCCACATTCTTTCCTCACCATGTTAATTTGGAATGAATGATGGCGACAGGGCATCTACTAGACAGAACAATTAACCCTTCCATTCAGGTGCTTCTCCCAGACACCAAACATTGGAATTTTGATGTTCTCATAATTTCTTTGCCTAATGGATGATGCCCCTCCTAACCACTTTATACCATTTAAATACACTTGATCTAATCAGACTTCCTGCATTTGATTTTACTAATCTGTTAAACACTTTATAGATTATCCTAAAGGCTGGAAGATCATGGAAGGTCCATCTGCTGCTATTTCTCATTGCCTCATGTTGGCCACAATACATTTTAATTGTTTTTCTCTAGACCATATGCTTGCCTTTGTAGTCTAATTTATCAGGAATGCTGGTTTAAGTTAGAGTAGGGGTAAGTAGTACTCCCTGTTAGTATGGGAGACACTTGGGGCTGTTAGAAAGACAGGGAAAAAGCAGGCAGCTACTCACTAACTCTACATATGGATTTAATATTAATAATCATGCTCAATATAGAAAACCAGAGCCATAATTTTCTTCAAAAATTTGACTTGAAGTTGCAGAGGATACAAACAAATGGAAAAATATGTCATGCTCATCAATAGGTAAAATCAACATTGTTAAAATGTCCATACTACCCAAAGTGATTTACAAATTCAATGCAATCCCCATCAAATTACCAATGCCATACTTAGCAGATCCTGAAAAAAATATTTTTATGTTTCATTTGGAATCAGAAAAGAATCCAAATAGCCAAAGCAGTCTTAAGGACAAAGAACAAATCTAGAGGCATCACATTTCCAGACTTCAAGCTATACAACAAGGTTTAACCAAAACAGTGTGGTATTGGTACAAAAATAGAGACATAGACCAATGGAACATAACCGAGAGCTTGGATATAAAATTATCTACCTACAACCAATTAATCTTCAACAATGCAGACAACAATGTACACTGGGGAAAAGAAGCCCTATTCAGTAAATGGTATTGGGAAAATTGTATAGCTATGTGTAGAAGAATGAAACAGGATACTTACCTCTCACCAATCACAAAAATTAATTCAAGATGGCTAAAATACCTAAATCTAAAGCATGATATAATACAAATTCTAGAGGAAAAGGTAGGAAAAACTGTAGGGGATGCCAAGAGCCAGATGACGTCTGAGCAAGATGATCTGCAGCTGAGGGGTGGACCCGCCAGCCATTTGTCCACAGGTGTTCCTTGTGAAAGAAGAGCTCCCTTCTTTAGTAGTCATTTGTTAATTACTCCCCTCACCTGTGTTGTATGGTCTCAATAAAAGGCTAGTGTGGAGGTTGCTCAGGGCTACCCTGCAAAGAAGGGCTAGCCCGTCTCTCTCAAGCTTGCACTTCTAATCCTCATCATGCCTGGTTCCTTCCTTCAGTGATTGAGACCAGGGCCATGGGGGCCCTACAGGTTGCGACAAAAAACTCTTCTAGATATTGGCCTATGCAAAGAATTTATGACTAAGACCCTGATGGAAATTATGGCAATAACAAAAATAAACAAATGGGATTTAATTAAACTGAAAAGCTTAGCTTAGCTTCTGCAAAGCTAAGAAAACAATTAATAGAGCAAGTAGACAACCTACAGAATGGGAGAAAATATTTAAAGCTATGCAACTGATAAACAGCTAATATCCAGAACTTATAAAGAACTCAAGCAATTCACCAAGAAAATAAAACAACCCTGTTAAAAAATTGGCAAAGGCATGGACAGAAGCTTCTCAAAGAAGAATGTGAAATGCAAATTAAAAGCACAATGATCTATCACCTTCCCCCATTTAGAATGGTTTTAAAGGGGTTATGAGGTAAGGTGATATATCATTGTGGTTTTAATTTGCAATGATGAATCAGGCAAATGCAAATTGATGATATATCATCATTTTCAAATGGCCAATAAACATGAAAAAGTGCTCAACATCATTAATCATCAGAGAAATATAAATTACAACCACAATATCACCTTACTCCAGTTAGAATGGCTTTTTTTTTTGAGACAGAGTCTCACTATGTCACCCTTGGTGCTGTGGCATCATAGCTCAGAGCAACCTCAAACTCTTGGGCGTAAGTGATTCTCTTGCCTCAGCCTCCCAAGTAGCTGGGACTACAGGCACCCGCCACAACACCTGGCTATATTTTTTGTTGTAGTTGTCATTGTTGTTTGGCAGGACCCAGACACGGTTTGAACCTGCTAGCCTTGGTGTATGTGGCTGGCACCCTAGCCACTAAGCTACAGGCACAGAGCCCAGAATGGTTTTTATTAAAAAGTCTAAAAATAATACCTGGCAGGGGAGATTCCATGATCATGAAGGTGGTTGTCCTAGGGCAAGGCTTATCCATTGCACTCCAGATGTGCTGACCCCTACAATTTCCCCAAATGTGGGAAACTCAACTGCATAATTTGTGGTAGTGGGGGATTGTATTTTCACTTTCCCCTGTGAAAAGTAAAAAAAAAAAAGTCTAAAATCAATAGGTGCTGGTGTGGAGGCAGAGAGGAAAGAACACTTAAACACTGTTGGTAAAACTGCAAATTAATATAACCCTTACGGAAAACAGCATGGAAATTGTTCAAAGAACTAAAAGTAGACCTACCATTTGATCCAGCAATCCCACCACTGGTATTTCCCCAAAGGAAGAGAAGGGGGAGATGTCTTTTCATCAGAAAGACACCTGCATTTGAATGTTTATTGCAGTACAATTCACAATTGCAAAGATGTGGAATCAACCCAAGTGCCCATAAATTAATGAGTAGATTAATAAAATACGATGTATATATACCATGGAGTACTACTCAGCCATAAAGAAGAAAATTAAAACCTTTTGCAACAAACTTGATAGAACTGGAAACTATTTTCTCAAATGAAGTATATTAAGAATAAAAGACAAACACTGCATGCATTCACTATTAAATTGAAACTAATTGGGGTTTGGAGGAGAAGAAGGGCAACCCATCTACTGGGTATAATGAACAGTATTTGGGTGATCATCACATCTAGAGCTGGGACTCAAGCATTACAGTAGTGATCTAAGTAACGTAAAACTTTGTGTCCTCTTTTGAAATAAAAATATTAGACTTGAAAAACCATGATTGCAATGTTAGCTGCAAAGATGGTTTAGTGTGATGTTGGTGTTTAACATTAGCGTTAGTTCAACACTCTGGAGAGAGAACACTGTTTCCTTCTAGGTATCTAAAGTTTGTTCACTATTGTTAAAACCAAAAATAGATTCAATGATACGATTGTCAAACATTTTACTTTCATTACTTTGAGATCTAAAACATTGTTTTTAGGTATCTGGTTGTGTAAGAACTAGGTAATTGGTAAGATTCTCCAGAGTCCCTGTTCCTCAGATTTGTAAAATCTTCTCTTTTCAAGGCAAATACAAAAAAAAATAGTTATTTCAAGATTTCTATTTAACAGTTTATATTAAATATAT